GGCCAGGAACTGAACAGATTTGAGTAGAAACCATGAAAATTGTCCTTTCTTTGGACTGGGGCACAGATCTTCTGCAAAAAGGAGCTGCTAGGCAGCAGCATGAATATCCACCAGTCTCTGTGGCGAGTGGAAAATTTGTAAGCATGAAGTGGGGAGGTGGCAAAGCCAGACTCTAGAAATGACACTCTGGACTCGCATCAGATTTACAGGAACAAGAACTCCAACAAATGTGTCCCCATTCTGACAAGAAGGGACACCCCTTCATTGGCTTGGAGCAAGACAGAGAATCACATCTTTGGATGAAAGTGTGTGTTTCTGTTTGGAGCTGGAAGCTTGTAACATGTTACACCCTGAATATGGATGTAACATGTTACAAAAAGGTGAACTTATCCTTTAAACCGTTTTATTTTTGCTGGAAATGCTGATATAACCAAGTTTTAGACCACTGCCTCCTGTTTGTATATACTCTGCATACTGTTTGCAAAGAAGTACAGTGTAAAATACCTTTTATTTTTACTTTTTTTTGGAGTGGTCATGTGATCTCATAGCTTGGACTCCTCTCTGAGAAGAAGTGGTTGCTTCAGCTAGTGGGAGGGATTTCCAACAGGGGCGCAATGAAGCAAGCAGGTGATGTCACGGGTCTGTGAATTTAGACCCATCGTGCAGCCCCTCATGGACACAGGAGAGCCCAGAGCTTAGTGATCTTGTGACTATTGAGGGGAAAAAAAAAAAACAAGCTATGTGTATGAGCAAGGTGAGGCAATGTATTACACACTAAGATGCTGCTAATCTCACTAGAAATTGACCAAATATGAAGTCCATCCATATTTTTGTTTTTTTCCTTTTAATAAAAAAGGGAAAAAAAGGAAAGCTATCATCCGTGAAAAACATTTCATGGCAGGATAAATTGAGTCATTTTAGTGAACAAATGAATAAAAGAGTTTATAAACTAGTGTAAAATTGGTGGGGATTGGGGTGTAATCAATCAGAATGATAAATCTTTAGATTTTAGCTTACAAAAAAAAAAGAAAAAATCTTGAGATGATCAGATAAAAACAGAGCAACATCAAAACAAACAACAAAAAAAAAAAGCCAAAAAAGCAGGTACGTATTTATTCTTCCCTCCAAAAAAGTGAGGTTCCTGAAATTTGCAATCAGTTTACAAACAGGAACCACCACCCACAGTAACAAACATTTCTTATTTGATTAATGATCAGCTGAGCACGCTTAAAAGACTTGAGGAATTCTGAGGGGCCAGAGATGGCAATGCATGAAGGAACCTCAGTCGCAACCGAACAATCACATGCTGCTATTGCTGGCACAAATCCAATCATGTGGCACACTGAGAGATGGGAATGTCTGCATTGTTTCAAGAACCTACATGTAAGTGCATTGTAAATTGCAGAAGCGGGTTTTCATTGGTGACACCCACTGCCCCAAATACAATACACTGTACAACATACGACATAAATGGAATCATAACATGGCCTTGCTAATGTTCTAGGAAGAAAAACATCTACAACAAATCTAAAACTGAGGTCTTGTGATTTTCAGCCTTTAATTTCAACGTCATTCAGCATGTTTTCATATTTTTTGCATTTGCAAAAAGGAGAAGGATCTGTGTGACCTCCAGTCAATTGTAGTTCACTGTTGAAGGAGGTAAACAACACAGTAAATTTCGCTTAGTACAAGCTACTTTGTATATCAGACCTTGATCATGACAAAGGAATAAAATGGGATCAGGGTATACAGGAAGGTAAAAAAAAGGACCTGGGGGGCCTCTTTATCAAACTAGGGAAGCTCAGAGTTTCTAAACAGTCCCTACACTTCCCAACTAGCCACCAAATGAGATGGACAACCTAACTGATCAACAGGAAAGCACAAGGGACAGGAGGAACCAGGCCAGAGCATTAGTATGCAAGCTCCATATTTCATCATAGAACCCTGGATTTTACATATCTTGCGGCATGCCAATATTATTCTAGAATGCCTGGAGGCCGTTCTGAGGACCTGGGGCCACAAATAAAGTGAGCCTAAATTTTTTCACATATTGCCTTTAACCCCTTCATGGTCAGGGTTAAAACAGACCTTGAAAAGATACCAAAAGGTTCTTTTTTTGTAAAACAACAAACATGTCTATACTTACCTGCTGTGTGTAGTGGTTTTGCACAGAGTAGCCTGGATCCTCTTCTCGGGTCCCCCGCAGGTTCTCCTGGCTCCTCCTCTCTGTCAGGTGCCCCCACAACAAGCGGCTTGCTATGGGGGCACCTGCTGCTCTGTGTGTCCATTCACACTCGGAGCCACGGCTTGACCCCCCCTCCCCACTGGCGGAGCGGCTGGGATTGACAGCAGCGGGAACCAATGGCTCTCGCTTGCTGTCTCAGCCAATGAGGAGGCAAAGACCTGGAACAGTCGAGGCTGTCATTTACATCGCTGATTCGCGATGAACCACAAGTATTGAGGGGGTTAGGGGAGCTGCTGCACACAGGTTTTTTTATCTTCATGCATAGAATGCATGAAGGAGAAAAAAAAAAAAAAACCTTCAACCTTTACAACCACTTTAACATCCAAACCAAATTCTGAAACTTTGACATGTGTTAGTATAACTGTACATAACATCGCAACTTAGTGTATCCAGGTGAATACCGTGTTCTTTCTGGACAGTTGGGCTTTTATTTGGTGGATATCTCCTAATTTTTATTATCAAAGGAAAACTGGCCCAAAGTAGTTAAAAAAAAACAAAAAAAAAAACAACCTTTTAAAAATGTAGCCGTATATATTTTACTGGCGCTTTTTATTTGATAGTTTTTTTAGAAGTGTATTACAAACATTTTACAGCTTCAGGTGGTTTGTTTAGCCAATAGAAAGCACTAGGGGAAGGAGAGGGGAAGAAAATAAGGGTGGAGAGCCGCTGTTTGAGCAGAAAACACGAGACAAAACGCTCAATAGAAACACCTAAAAATGTGTGACTTGAAGTCTATGAGGCCACAAATGCTTGTAATCTGCCAAAAAAAAAAAAAAGCTCATGTACATTTTTGAGCAACGGTCATTTTTCTTCAGGCGACAGAATACTCATATGTGAACGGGGCCATTGAAATTAATGGGATTTGGCTAATTGAGCATTTTTAGAGCTGTAAGCTTCAAGCAGAAAAATCGCTCAGGTGGGAATGCAGCCTAAAGGAAATCTGGGTAGGAAACCACTGATGAAATATAATTTAAGATTTGTTTGTGAGTTCCCTGGGAGTGCAGGAATCTCTGAGATGGGCTATTTTTTACAATAATTGGGCATAGCTTTTTAAGTTGAGCTTTGCTATCCTCATAGGTTCTTTTGAAGGAGGAGTTTTCTTTCTGCTCTAGGAGCATGCAGAACCCCTGACCTCTGGACAATGCTGATTGGCCCTGTGCTGCTCACATGCACTCTACCCAAAAAAAAAAAAAAAAAAAAAAAAAAAAAAAAAAACCCTTCTCTAGCAATACACACCAAACTGAACATGTGCAGAGTGTCTATACATGATATGTCTTAACAGGAGATAAGAGGGGGGCCACTGGAAGAAGGGAGGATCAGAGAAGTCAGGATCAAATAGCTTTTTCGCACAATGCAGAGGATTACCCCTTAGGCTCCACAGTGAGTATAACAAGCATCCTTTACTGCATATACAGACTTATTTTACTGTTGAGGCTTTAGTAACACTAAGTAAGGGGGAAAAAACAGCTGCAGAAAAGATGTCCATCCTCTTAGGACACTAGAAAAAAACTGAGGCATGCTTGCTAGTAGTAGAAGTGGTTATCCTGGGCTGCCCAAAAGCTTTTAATTGCCAGTGTCCAACCCTTCTGTAGGTAGCAGTACAACCCAAAGGTTGAAGACTGAGTCCCTCAATGGACAAAAAAAAAAAAAATACTGGTTTGCATATATATGTAGAGCTATGCCAATTATGACATCCTATATTATCTGTACACATTCAATAGACATACCTTTCGATCCTTTGCAGGGACATGTCCATTCTGGGTACCAGGGAAGTCCAGCTTCCCATCATCCTTGCTACCCAATGCCTTTAGGCCTTGTGAAAGAATGTCTCTTAACTTCTGATATGGAGGTTTAGAGTCATAGCCCAGATGAGCAATTTCCATCATGTACTTTGATATTTCACCTATTGAAAGCAAGAAGAGTACAGTAAGTAATACACTTCTATTTGAATTGTTTTGTGCGGGAGTACAGTTTTCTGCTGCTGTCATCTCCTATGAGAATGGAGCGGAGGTTTGGCTTACCGACGCTGTGCATCTAAGGAAGCACACAGTCTAGCTTGGCAGTGCACTGATGTCCCCATAGCACATGGCTTACTAAGGAGGCACCCGGAAAAAGAAGCAGCCAGCAGCAGACTGCCAAAGAAAAGGTAGGGGACCACTGTGCATCGCACAAAACAAGCCTTTAATATCATTTTAAAGAGATTCCATTTCTAGAAACATAGTAAAAATATGCTGCTTGTATAAACTGTGGGCGTCTAGAGGTGACTGCACATACTTGGCAGCAGCTTTAAAAAATCTCCCAGATAAGGCCAAATACTGGGCCACTCTGATAGGCAAAGCTTTGAATGCAGGGTATTCTGAGAGCTTGTGGGCAAGTCCAGCCGCCTCACATTCCTTTTGGCTCATCACCATATGATGGGCTTTCCCACTGGCTAGAAGAGGCTGGCAAATGTAGCTTTTAGAAAGAAGTGTTGATGCTTTGCTTGTCAGACCAGTCTGACATTTGCCTACATTTAAGCATGTTGAAGTATCTTGGGGGAAAAAAAAAAAAGAAATGAAGTCACTTTCACTCAGCATTTAGTGTAAAGCAAAGAAATGCACACATTTACAGTACCCAGCTATCCCTGATGATGACCTCTGTTGTACAGCAGTGGGACCAGTACACCAAGTACTACACTAGAAGCCCCGCGATCATACAGCCCATACCCATCTAACACAAGATATTTCAATTTAAGATTCCGTATGTTAATTGTGATTCAACCTGGTTTCTTTTTCCCAGGGAAGCAGGTGTCCATAAGTGTTGGGATTTCATCAGAATACCTGAAAAAAGAAAAAGAAAAAAAAAGTTGATATTTGTGTTTGCACTTTTAAAATGACAGACATTCTTCAAAAGAACCTATGAGGATAGCAAAGCTCAACTTAAAAAGCTATGCCCAATTATTGTAAAAAAAAAGTAGCCCATCTCAGAGATTCCTGAGCTCCCAGGGAACTCACAAACAAATCTTAAATTATATTCCATCAGTGGTTTCCTACCCAGATTTCCTTTAGGCTGCATTCACACCTGAGCGATTTTCTGCTTGAAGCTTACAGCTTTAAAAATGCTCAATTAGCCAAATCCTATTAATTTCAATGGGCCCCGTTCACATAGGAGTATTCTGTCGCCTGAAGCAAAATGACCGTTGCTCAAAAATGTACATGAGCTTTTTTTTTGGCAGATTACAAGCATTTTTTGGCTCCATAGACTTCCAAGTCACACATTTTTAGGCGTTTCTATTGAGCGTTTTGTCTTGTGTTTTCTGCTCAAACAGCAGCTCTCCACCCCTATTTTCTTCCCCTCTCCTTCCCCTAGTGCTTTCTATTGGCTAAACAAACCGCCTGAAGCTGTAAAACGTTTGTAACACACTTCTAAAAAACTCTCAAATAAAAAACACCAGTAAATCTCTATGCTCTGGTGTGAATGCAGCCTTATTAATTTTACATGCCTGGTGACTGCTAAGGTGTCTTAGTAGAAAGAAAGTCCAGAGATGCAGGTATTCTACCACAAACATATAGAGATGGTTCACTCAGAAATATTGAGGGAACAATTTTAGGTTTCAAACCTTTTCTTTTGATGCATATGTGCAAAACAGTCCAAGGAAAATGTATTTACACTTATTAAATATCAGACATCTAAGCCTGGCCAAAGACCCATTATCTCCTGCGCTCAAAGACTCAGATCAAACGGGCGTTAGTAACAAGCAACGTGTTGTGTGTTCATCCGCTGGTGATCAGAGGTTGTGCAGCTCTATCATGAAGCTGGGGAAGCTTGATAAAACTGTAGAAGATGAAAGAAAGAGCGCACAAACCTTGCGCATTACCTCAATAAATAGTGACTAATTTTATTATTAAGGAAATATACTCACAAAGTGATGGTATAACAGGCATAAGTAACCATAATCCAAACAGGATTACAGGTAAATCCAAAGGGGGGGGGGGGGGGGGTGAAGGTTAACGCGTTTCGAAGGGTGCTCCCTCCTTCATCAGAGCTGGGTTGAGCAGATAGAGACTTCAGTATGGCAGAGTTCCATGGCAAGGAGATTCTCAGCCACTGAGTGTCAGTATTACAGCAGTTCACTACTGACACTCAGTGGCTGAAAATCTCCTTGCCATGGGAACTCTGCCATACTGACGTCTCCATCTGCTCAACCCAGCTCTGATGAAGGAGGGAGCACCCTTCGAAACGCATTAGCCTTCATCCCCCCTCCCTTTTGGATTTACCTGTAACCCTCTTTGGATTATTGTTACTTATGCCTGTTATACCATCACTTTGTGAGTATATTTCCTTAATAAAATTAGTTACTATTTATTGAGGTAATGTGCAAGGTTTGTGCGCTCTCTCTTTCATCTTCTTCTACAATCTAAGCCTGGCCTCCTTACACACACACACACACACACACACACACACACACACACACACACACACACACACACACACACACACCTCTAAAGGTAGTAGGTCCTAAGTGAAAACCCACTGTGAGATACCTCTGAAAGAAGTCACCTTCTAAATTGCAAACCCCCCCCCCTCCCGATGCACACTAGCTGAAGAACAGTCACATTTACAGTATATAGGTTTATATTCATAAACAGCTCAGAAGCCAAGAGAATGGCAGCATGCAGTGGTAGCTTTTCACAGAGATTTTTTTCCTTTTCACAGATACCCTTTAAGTTTTTTCATGGAGTTCAGCTTTGTTGGTTTGGGTTAAAGTTACCCCTGTAGTGGGGATCCCCCAAGCATGACAAGGGTTAAATTCCTGGCCTTTTCTCAATCTAGGTGATCATATAAAAACAGTTTTACTTACCTTATCACTCTTTCCTGCAGGCAACGACTGGTCCCCTGAAGCCACTTTTCTGCGCCACTCTGTTGGTCGCAAGCACTCTGACATCACATACAATGCAAGATAACCAGTCCTGCATTGTAACGTTCCTCCCACAACATTAAAGTAGAACTATAGGCAACATCCCCCCCCCCCCCCCCCCCCCATTTTGGATAGAGCAAAGGAGAGTTATAACCTCTTCTAGACTTTTTTACCATTTGTGTCCCATTGCAGAGATTTTCCTTCGCTTCCTGCCCCATAGCCAAACCACGGAGTGAGAAGAAATCTCCGCAAATTAAAAGGGAATTCTTTGGGGACCAGGTCACGAGAACTAGTGGGTCCCATTGGAAGATTTCCCCTTTATTATGTTTCTGGGGACAACTCAAAATTTGGGATTTTCTTTTACTTTCAATAATGGTAAACAGGGCAAATAAACAGGGCAAATCCTTGACGAGGGCACAGACAGCAATAAAAACCTCACAGGTATTCTAATCCCTCTCAACTCCATCCACAAAAAAAAAAAAAAAAGTTTTTAATTATGCTTTAAAGTGTTTGAGAGAAGAGGAGAGCACTGGCTGCCAGTGGGAGTGAGGGATAAAGTGAGTAGACAAAAATGACCACTTAACCCTGGCAGTGCAGGGAGCACAACTGCAAGGGTCACTTTACATTTTTATCAGTTCGGTATTAAAAGGACAAGCTCACTTTAAAAATAAATACATTCACATTTTTTTGCAGGTAAAAAAAAAAAAGTGCATTTACCATCATATATTCAGGAGCCTGGAAAGCATTGCACCTGCAATCAGCAAGACTCCTACATACTGTCAGTTTAAGCTGTCTGTCCATACATTGTACAGACAGGCAGTTACACAATGACAGGAAAAATCAATGAACTACCAGAGCGCTCAACAGCACTGTGGTAGTTCATTGAGAACTACAAGGTGATGACAGCCGCAAAGGATGTAGGTACTTGTAGTTTTCCCATTCACAGAACTTGGTGAATGCACTGCGTGGGCAGGGTGCTGCACAGACAAAGTTTTTTTCTAAATTGTGACAAATGGAGATGGGGAGGGGGTTGGGGATGGCAGGGGTCGGTGCTACAGCAACAGGTTACATCCTCAATAAGGGTATAACATGTAACGAAAGGTGAACTTGTTCTTTAACCAGGTTTTTACACTTGCAACAAACAATATAGACAGGCATACCTTATTTTTGAGCTGGTAACATAATTTGGGTCCTTTAAGTTGTCTTCCCAAGGCAGCTTGCCACAGAGCCACTGAATCATACAATAACCCAAAATTTCTAAATCGCCTCTTCTTGAAGGACCTGTTGAAATATTTAACATGGCTCTCAAAAAGGAAACTAGAATGTTTTAAAGATGTTTAGATCAATAGAAGATCAATGTAGTAGGTCCCCTTCACACTATTCATTGTGTTCACACACATTTGTTAATGCAATGCATCATACATTAATGCAACTAATTAATTTGGAAAGAGCTGGCAGTGCACCTTAGTGGGCACAAAAATGGACCTGCTGGTTTTTTAATTCAATGCAGCACATGGCATGTGTGATTAAGCGTGGGTGTGTTTCCTGGTAATGTAATAAGGCGTTGTGGAGCCGTTACAATCCACCACAGATCAAGTGTTAAAAAAGGGAATTTTGACTTACAAGTGAATTCCATATCTTGGCAGAATATTCATACACCATAGGTTATAGGCGTGTACCTTCAGGTGATTGGACATCTACAGTGGGCATTAACCACTGGTTAATAGAATCCTTTCCAACTGGGAACCAATTAAGTGAGCATTCAGGGGGGAGTCCAGGATCCATCAGGGTGCTTCCAATTCCCATACAGCAATACCTTTAAAAGAGCAGGTGTAATAGGAAGGTCTCTGTATCTGTAGGAGCTCTGAAAGACCCAAGACTAGAGATAGCAGGTTGATCCTTCAGATGCAGAGTAGTATGTACCCCATCAATAAGGGCCAAAACAGTCTAAAAAATCTGGGACAATATAGCAGCAGGATGCAATTCATCAAAGATAGTCTAGTCAGGAAGAGATTGTGCTGACCCAGAATCAAATTCAGTAATGGTCACTACAATTGGTGTCCTGGTTTCCTGAGGCTGTGGGCTGATCAACAAAAGAGACTGCAGAGAAAGAAAAGGGGTGCACACTTAAAACCAACAAGGAAATGAGCGAGTGCGGCACAATTTCATGTCCAACTGCGGTAGAGACCCCAGTTGATAAGTCAAGAGGACTCGACCCCCAGCCAGCATAATTAAAGGGTAACAAATCCAGATGTCGGTAGCTTCAGAAGTATAGAACAAATGCCCCAGGAACCATTAGAGGATTGTGAGCCATGGTCACCTGTTCCAGAACTGTCCCCTAGATGTATAGTTACAGATTTGTTGCAACCCCGTCATTAAGGCAACTAAGATCAAGGTACGAGGCCAGGTCTCAGGTACCCACAAAACCCAGATAACAGTCAGCCAGGAAATGTTGGATGACCAGAGGTGACTAAAATCACTGTAGATGGGCAGTAGGAACAGGCAGAAGTTCAGAGTTTCACATGGCTCTTTGCAAAGCACGGAGGTGGTAGGAAAGTGCATGGAGGATATGCCACCCCACCTAGCAGATGACGTCAGTGCTCAGTCCCTCAGCGTTATCCCCTTCTGCAATAGAAACTGGCTGAGAACAGAAATTTTAAAAAGGCACCTAGCTTTTCCAACAAGCGGCCTCTTCATAGACATGGCAAGCACTGAGGCAATGCCAACAGTGTGGACCTGAAATCGCTCAGTGGCTAACCTGTTACCAGAACAGGGTCTGGAAAGTGTTCTATGCGGAACAGAGTTCCTGAAGGTCATTTTCAGACTAGCCCCACCACATCTAATCCAGCGGGGTCTGGTCATGTCACACCAAAAGCTAGACTAAGGGTAGGCAATCATATATGAGGAATTAGCTGGGATTGGTCCAAACTCAGAAGAAAGCGGTCAGTGTTGGCCTAATCAGCTGCAGCTGGGAGACATTGCTCGCCCCGCAGCTGCTAGTGCACAAAAGGGGAAAAGATGCTTCTGACATCATTGATCTACTAGTTACATGGCGATATTAGGTCACTGATGTCACAAGCATCCTCTCCTGATTGTGTAGTTGCAGCTCTGGTCAGGGAATGTCCTGGCTGAAGCTGACTGAGCCAGCACCGGCAGCTTCCTTCCATGTTCAGACAAAACCCAAGCCCACCCCTACAAGTGATGTAGAAAAATGACACTAGCTAAAAGCTGTATACAGTATTGGTGGGTGTACCTTCATATGTGCCACATCCCTTGAATACAACCCTTTAAGAATACAAAATTGAAATGGGATCATTATTGCATTATATTACACATATATAAGGTAGAGATTTTTCTTAAAAAAAATAAACATCTTTATTGCACAATATTAGCATAAAAGAGCAAACGCCTTGTACCCCAATTTTACACAGCAAGTACAATGCTCTCAATGATAAAGACAGACTTGTAACGTAGCTCCATTCACCCGACGCGTTTCAGAGATAAAACACTTTCCTCAGATATACAGATAAATAATCTCTAGAACATAATAAGCATCTTTAACAATGGTCCAAAACATTGCATATTTATACAAAGTCTGAACAACTTACTATTCAGAGAGCATTTTAACCACTAGCCTACAAGGCACTTACACCCCCTTCCTGCCCAGGCCAATTTCCAGCTTTCAGCGCGCTGTCACACTTTGAATGACAATTTTCATACTTTTGGCTCTGTATGCCACCAGAATAAATTAAAACAAAACAACCCAAATGAATTGAAGTGCAGACTTTCAGCTTTAATTCAAGGGGTTGAACATAAATATCAAGTACAAATTTTAGGAACGGCAACCATTTTTATACACAGTCCCTCCATTTTCAGGGGCTCAAATGTAACTGGACAAATGAATATAATTGGGCTTTGAAAAATCTGTATGTAAATGGATAGAAAACTGGCTCAAAGATGGTATTCAGAGAGTAGTGGTTAATGATTCATACTCTGAATGGTCTAGGGTTGTCAGGGGTGTACCCCAAGGTTCAGTGTTGGGACCCTTACTTTTTAATATATTTATAAACGATATAGGGTCTGGGATTATAAATACCATTTCAGGCTTTGCAGATGACACCAAGCTGTGCAGTGGAATAACGTCCTTACAGGATGTCTCCAATTTACAAGCCGCCCTCAATGCAAGCTTAATAATGGCATGCAATGCCAAGCACCAGCTTCTAAAGCGAGCAAAATCCTGTCTTGTATTAAAAGAGGTATAGACTCCAGAGAGAGAGAGATCATTCCCCCGGTACAAATCATTAGTAAGACCTCATCTGGAATATGCAGTTCAGTTTTGGGCACCAATTCACAAAAAGAACATTGGGGAACTGGAGAAAGTACAGAGAAGGGCAACCAAACCGATAAGAGGCATGGAGGAGATCAGCTATGAGGAACGACTAGAGGAACTGAATTTATTCTCTCTTGAGAAAAGAAGATTAAGGGGGGATATGACCTCCATGTATAATACATAAGGGGGGGATATGACCTCCATGTATAATACATAAGGGGGGGATATGACCTCCATGTATAATACATAAGGGGGGGGATATGACCTCCATGTATAATACATAAGGGGGGGATATGACCTCCATGTATAATACATAAGGGGGGGGATATGACCTCCATGTATAATACATAAGGGGGGGGATATGACCTCCATGTATAATACATAAGGGGGGGGATATGACCTCCATGTATAATACATAAGGGGGGGGATATGACCTCCATGTATAATACATAAGGGGGGGATATGACCACCATGTATAATACATAAGGGGGGGGATATGATCACCATGTATAATACATAAGGGGGGGGGGGATATGATCACCATGTATAATACATAAGGGGGGGGATATGATCACCATGTATAATACATAAGGGGGGGGGGATATGATCACCATGTATAATACATAAGGGGGGAAGGGATATGATCACCATGTATAATACATAAGGGGGGGGGGGATATGATCACCATGTATAATACATAAGGGGGGGGGGATATGATCACCATGTATAATACATATAGGGGGGGGGATATGATCACCATGTATAATACATAAGGGGGGGGATATGATCACCATGTATAATACATAAGGGGGGGGATATGATCACCATGTATAATACATAAGGGGGGGGATATGATCACCATGTAGAATACATAAGGGGGGGGATATGATCACCATGTATAATACATAAGGGGGGGGATATGATCACCATGTATAATACATAAGGGGGGGGGGGGATATGATCACCATGTATAATACATAGGGGGGGGGGGGGATATGATCACCATGTATAATACATAAGGGGGGGGGGATATGATCACCATGTATAATACATAAGGGGGGGGGGGGATATGATCACCAGGGGGGTATAATACATAAGGGGGGGGATATGATCACCATGTATAATACATAAGGGGGGGATATGATCACCATGTATAATACATAAGGGGGGGTATGATCACCATGTATAATACATAAGGGGGGGTATGATCACCATGTATAATACATAAGGGGGGTATGATCACCATGTATAATACATAAGGGGGGGATATGATCACCATGTATAATACATAAGGGGGGGATATGATCACCATGTATAATACATAAGGGGGGAATATGATCTCCATGTATAATAATACATAAGGGGGATATGATCTCCATGTATAATAATACATAAGGGGGATATGATCTCCATGTATAATAATACATAAGGGGGATATGATCTCCATGTATAATAATACATAAGGGGGATATGATCTCCATGTATAATAATACATAAGGGGGATATGATCTGTTCTGTTTCATGTATTGTCCCCCCCCATTGTACAGCGCTGAGCAAACCCTTTGGCGCTATATAAACACGATAAATAAATAATGTTACTGTTCTGTTTCATGTATTGTCCCCCCCCATTGTACAGCGCTGAGCAAACCCTTTGGCGCTATATAAACACGATAAATAAATAAATAAATAAATCTCCATGTATAATAATACATACAAAGGGGGATATGATCTCCATGTATAATAATACATAAGGGGGATATGATCTCCATGTATAATAATACATAAGGGGGGATATGATCTCCATGTATAATAATACATAAGGGGGGATATGATCTCCATGTAGAATACATAAGGGGGGATATGATCTCCATGTATAATACATAAGGGGGGATATGATCTCCATGTATAATACATAAGGGGGGATATGATCTCCATGTATAATACATAAGGG